CCAGCAGGAGCGGGAGGGGACCCCGGATGGAAGAGCCCAGCAGGAGCGGGAGGGGACCCCGGATGGACGAGCACAGAAGGAGCAGGAGGGGACCCCGGACGGACCAGCCACAGGAGCAGGAAGGGACCCCAGGAGGACGAGCGCAGGAGTATGAGGGGACCCCAGGTGGACGAACACAGGAGTAGGGGGGACCCCGACAGGATGAGCCGAGCTGCACAGGCGCCTATCCTGACAGGAGCAGAGGGGCTGGACGCGGAGGGAGAGCTCCCGGGTCGCAGGCAGGGCACTGCGGCCAGGAGGACGGCATGCCCCAGGGCGCCCACTGGGAGGGGGCGGCGGGCTCCGGCCAGGCCCTCCGGACAGTGGCTGCTGTGTCCCAGCACCCCAGGAGGCGCCAGGGCAGCTCAGACACAAGACGCGTGGAGCCGATGGTGGAGGGGGCGAGGGCGGCCACCCTCAGCGACAGCCTGGGCTGGGGGAGTTCAGCGACCTTGTCTGGGAGATGCTGGCCCGTGGGGGCTTTGTCTTTGTCCCAAACACAGCCAGGGCCGAGGCGTGGGGAGCTCCTCCCCGGGGGCTCCTGCCCTGTCACCTCCTGGTCTCCTCCCTTTTGCCCGGCCAGGCCTCAGGATAAGAACAGACCCCACGGCACTGCGGCCTCCCAGGCCCCAGGCCCACTTCTGGGGACCACTATGGGCTGGTCACACCCCATCCCAGCTGGGGTCTGCAGGCCCCAAGTCTCTCTCCAGGGCACCTATAGGCCCCCAACCTTTGCAGAGGGAGCCCCCAATGCGTCCCAGGCATGGCCCCACATACTCGGGGCCAGCAGCTGCCAGCGTGGGGAAGCCCAGCTTGCCGACAGCCCCCGGGACGGTGAGCACCCTGGCTGCGGATGCCCCTCGCACAGCGGTGGGAGGCAGGGTCTGCCCGGCAGCACATACGCACTCGCTACAGCCCGGGCCATCGGCCTACGTGGGTTTCTTGACCCATAAAATCAACAACGGAGGGTGACGAGGGCAAGCAGTTCCCAGCGGGGGGCCGTCCTGCCCCAGAGGACAGCAGGCAGTGTCTGGGGACATCTGAGACTGGCACGACTGGGGTGCCCCTGGGTGGGGTGGGGGCCAGGGACCCTGTGTCGGCTGCAGCCACGGTGTCAGCCGGGTCTGGGTCTCTGTCCGGAACAGGCCGGGGACAGCAGGTGCTGGCTGGCCTCCAGCTCGCAGGGGCCTTCGATCCCAGGGAGGGGCCAGCGTCAGGGAGACAGACACGAGACCACAGAGCAGAGGGGAAGAACCCAGGGTCCTGTGCGCCCTCACGCAGGGCCCCGTGGGCTGCTGGGCCATGTGAGCCCATGCCACCTCCTCTCCCGGAAGCCCGCGCTCCTGCTGCGAGGAAGCCCACAAGCTGCCCCCGCCCAACTCCACCCCAAGGGCGCTCGCCAGGGGACCCAGGGACATTGCCTGCCTCGGTTTGGCCAAAGGAGGCCCACCCGTGTCCTGCTCATGGATCTGCCCGGCCGCGTGCACCCCCCTCACGGCACACTGCAGGGCACCAAGGCGGGGCCTCCACTCCCACGATGCCCGCTGTGCACCTGCCCAAGCCGTGCCCGACTCGCACATCGGAGCCCGCACCGAACGGCGGCGTGAACGAGGGTCACGAAGCCGAGGGAGCTGACCCCCAGGAGGGCGGCCGCACTCTTGACATTCACCCCAGAGCCCTGCTGAGATGAGGGTCCAGGGGCAGACCTTCAGCAAAGAGCACTTAGGGCAGGACCCCAGCACGTGGCGCAGTGGCTGTCACTCGGCTCCCACGAAGTCGACCGCGGTTCGAGTCCTGGACCCAGTGACTGAAAACTCACCCAGCGTGTGTGCACGCCCAAAACCCCAAGAGGAAAA